TGCAAACTCCATGGAGAGGAAAGAAGGGGACTCGAAGGTCGGGGGAGGTGGTATTTATAGGGGAGTCGGAGGAGGTGCCAAGAAAAAAAAGTCTTACCCTACCAGAACAAGTTTTGAGGATAGAGAGGGTTTTCTCATACCGGCAAGACGGAGCGCGCCAATTTACTCGAGTATATTTGCTCGCAGGAGTCATGCGATGGGCACGGCGCTGCGACTAGAGCGTTTCTACTTGTATAGTCCCACTCGGGTTGTCCAAAGGACAGTTTTAAGTTTAGCATGTTCCAGGAACTTGCTCCATTTAAGCAATATCTACGCAAAGGTGATATACTCGAGTACTGTGCTCTCAGGAATCTCGGAGATCTTATCCCTAAACGGAAACAACATAGATATCGTATTATACTCGACCAGCCAGCTCTCCAGAACACACCCATGGGGGAGTAGTGTCGCCAACTTAAAATGTTTTCACTTTGACAACCCAAACGGGACACCAGAAACGCTCTACGTATCCTCTTTCAACCACCACACCGCTATTACAACTGGTCCGAATAACCGCAACCTACCGGTAGGCGCAAATCCCTCTTATGATATCTGCAAATTGCCATGATATGTAAAGACCAATGAAAAATCAGATAAGTATTTTCAGACTTGGTATGGTTTTTTTTATCTTCGCTTTTTTTATTAATTTTGAAGTCAATTAACCATAGAAAGTTAATAAAAATTGTTATATGATATAATTATCTATTTAAAAAGACAACATAGGTTACAGGTTTATGCTTTCAAAATTGTCACAAGAATATTATTACGCAGTAAAAAAAAGAATTCTTGTATCGTACTCCATATCAGATTGTTCCATAACTTGTCCCAATATCTGGGTTTTTTAGATAGGATAAAAGCAGATTGGTACAGCACACCGCTAACAAAAAGTGGGAGAACTTGCTCCTACTCGAGTAGGGGCTGCTCAGCGAAGCTGGTATGATCGTATCTTAATGGTCCAGCGATATTGGGTTGCGCTGTGACTGCACGCACGCCCCATCTAGTGCCGATATCGGAACGGCTAACACAACGATACTAGTGTCGGACTCAGAGAGCTTTTTGCAACCGTGGGTGAGAGGGAAATCTGTTAGACGTGTGGTCAGTTTTAACCACCGGGAGCTATATCCGGGGGGCTGGGCGGGTGAGATTCGACAGGGGCGACCCCATAATACAGAAGCAAGGAGTATCCGAATCACTTTGCGCTCAGTCAGTGATAAGTTTTAACTACCCGCGAAATTAAAAGTCTCTCCCTAGCTTTACCTCTGGAAAACAACCGCTCCACCACACCTAACATATATCATACAGTACTTACCGCACTTCGTATAACTCCAAACGGGGACAAGAGATAAGCGTTTCTCGGGGTATCTTATTTGTGAAGGATGGATATCAACACAATTCTCCTGTCATCGCTGGGGTCGGTAGAAGCGCAATCGCTGTCTTTAAACTGGCGACTATCCTTAGGAGACCGAACTTCTGGAGGTAGCTAGTGCTGAGCAAGTGAGCATAGGCGAGACGAATTGGAGTTTAACCTGCGAGAACTTGGTGTGGAACGATGGAAGCGGTCAAATATGGCTGATTCTGGAAGGGGGCGAGGCGTCAGGCGATCGCGGAACTCTCAACCCGAGAGAGATCGTGAAATTATCCTGCCATCAACTGAGTGACCTAGGAGCAAATTAGAATAAGTTCGCTTCACGGGACATTAACGCCAGGTATTTCATATGAGCTGAAATGCAGGGACCTTCTACTAGAAACAATAACTGCCACACTTAATACCGGTATATTATTGTCTTAATCCCTCGCAAAAAGGCCAGATTATGAAGACAAAAATGAAAAACGATACATTTCGTATCGGCCGGAGACAGTGCAATACCAGCGATACAGTGAGGATCAAGCCTAGCAAGCCAGACAAGATCCCCGAGTAAACAAAAATTAAACCAACCAAGCAAAAAGGCTTAGGAGAGCAGTTTCAGATAGCGACAGTGAGGATGAAGCATAGCGAGCCAGAGGCAGGATCCTGTGAAGCAAAAATAGGATTAACCAAGAGAACAGGTTCCACAGAGCCTCTGCAGAGAGCCACATAGCGGGGATCTAGCATTGCGGTCTAGACGACGCAGGATCCCCTGACTGAAAAAAAATAGGATTGACTAGAAGAACATGTTCCGGAGAACCGTTTCGGATATTAAACCGAGAAGAGCAAAAGATACGCTTGATCGATGCTTGCTCTGTTGTTAGCGCTCACGGGCGACTATAAGGCGGGAAGTTGCCGCAGGCTTATCTGAAGGTAAGAGAACTGAGGAGAAAGAAGGACGTGGAGGTTGACGCAGTCTGTATATGTAGTTTATAAAGGGAAATGCAAGCATGTCTGAAATAATTTCTGGTTGACATCAAATATACGGCTAGCTGAGTGACACGATGGGGTAGTTGGAGTAGTAGGCTCTGCGGGGGCCTAATTTCGAATAAATGGCGGTAGATCTGCTTAAGAGAAAGACTATGCCCTATATAGATATTAGTACATGTGTTGATAATTTGAAGAAATACCTTATACTATCACAAAGAAAATCTGCTGTAAAGCGAAAATGTCTACTCAAATGATTGATCTTATCCATTCGGTATAGATCTGCCATGAAGACCGTAGTCTTGCTACTCTTGCTTTCACTGTGTAGTAATCAGAAGTTGTCTCTGGTACGCTAGACTATAATATAGGCTATTGATGGGTGCTTTAAAAGCGACCTCTTGTCATAATATGTCTGTGAGATGAATCCCAGGATCTTGAGTCTGGTTGCGCAAAAAAGTCATTTCCCTGAAACCATATGTTAGCACAAAAATATTTTCCCATGAGTGAATGGCCCAAAGGGAAGGAAGCAAGAAAGAGATCTCATCTTGGAGAAAATACTTGAAAGTTAGAAATACAAGAAAGTAGTGGTCGTATCGAGATTTTTTCTTAGAAACTTATCAAACTATAAGCGCTCCAGAGTTGCTCTGGTGGATATAGTTGGGGAAGGAGTGGTGAGGGAAGAAGTAGTGAAGGAAGGAATGAGGGAAGAAGGCGAAGATAAAAAAATCTCTGAAGCCACCTGGTGGGAGCATTTAATATAAGTGTCCTGTAGGGCTTTTTTTTCTTTGGGCTCCAAACTCATAATATCAGAAAGCAGGCCCTATGTCTGTTCTATGTTATGATAGAATAAACAGAGTCGTCTCCCTCCTGATTCAGCTTCCTCCGCAAGCCAGCCCCCTTAGGCCTCCTAAATTCCACAAAATATGCTTCTTTAAACTTAACAGACAACTAGAAATTCAGTTCCTACAGATAAAGGTATAATAACATAGATGGTAAAGCCGCTCCTTGTAATCTAATTAATTACCCAATCCTCAATAATAACAATAATAATTATAATTATAAACGGAAAACTAAATAAATAAATTCCTACAAAATTTAATTAGGAATATAAAAATGGATAAGAAAGAGAGGCAAACGATAGGGTCGACCAAAAATGAAAGGAGAGGGTGAGAAGTGGCTATTAGTCCCTGGGGAGCCGTTCTCCAGTATAACATCGCACTCGCAGTTGTAACCTACACTTCCGTTATCAATTGTTTACAAAGCGGTAAAAGACTGTTACGGTACAGTACAGCACTATTCGAAGACAAATTGCCATTCACAGCCTTTCCCAAAAGAGCACAGCTATTCCCCCCGCCCACCATCACCCAGCAGAAGCTCTCGCCCCCCCGCCACAAGTTCCTCATTTGATATAATAGCTGGAAACATGGGGGGAAAAACAAATTGCACGACCAGCCCAGAGCAAACTCAACGAACCTAAGCCCAGCCGTGAGAAACACCAATAACCCCACAGAACGCATTTCCCCTAGTCATGGTAACAGTGATGAACGGTTGCTGCGCTCCTCCAACGCCGCAAACCAAACTAACCCAACATATTCATGAGAGAGTCCACCACGAGTGATTGCTCATGAACCCAGTGGCCAAAGACCAGCGAGCTGTAGAAATCTTTTGAACCAAAAGGCCGGCTCGGAGGAACCCAAGGGGACCAGCAGACAACGCCATGGCTGCACCCCCCCCCCCCAACTGCCATGAGTGCCTCCGACATAATCATTTCACATTCAACGGAAGCAGAAAGAGCCGAATCCGGGTAATCGCGCTAAGCCGATGATCCAGGAGACAGCTACACCGAGTACCAAAAAGTCAGTTCCCCCGCGCGGATTTCTCTATCATTTATGATATGCCATTTCCTCACTTACCAGCTGAGCATGAAACCCAACCGGCGGCAAGCAATAGCTCCTCCTAGTCAATTCGCCATCACTATCGCACACAAAACCAGCTCACCTCACCACCGGGCCAAGTGAACTTCATATAGAACTTCCGAAAACGATGCTCCCACAGCCCACCGCGAAAAGTATCATACAAAAAAAAAAGCCCTATTCAGAAAACAACCTTTAAACAGTGAACCTCCCAGCAGTCAAAGTCGAGCGGGAGTCGCACGCGGACATAAAGCTTTCTCGCTTCCCCGGGAGCCGAGATCGATCCGCACAGCTAACATCTCCGCGGGGCACATCATGCAGTGTGTGGGCCTGTCCAAGCAAAGATGTTGGATTGATGTGCCTCTGGTAGGACTCTTTCTTTTAGCCCGCTAATTTACTATATTTACCCTACCCACATGTAGCGCATTTGCTACCGATAGAATCTAATGGACGACAAAATGGTATGATATGGGGTTGTGGCAGTGGAATGTCAAGTATTTCACCGCACCGAAGGGGCGACGGTGAAATTGACTATTGTGATTATCTTCCCCCTGGTGTGGTCAGAGATGCACATCCGTACCTAGACCATGGGCGGTTCCCCCCCAAACTCAGAACTCATACTAGTGAGTAGGCGCTAGACTAGCGCTTCGCAACAATAGATACTCGAGTAGAGGACGAACGTTTGAGTGGCTGTGACACGGTAGTGCACTCGTAGCTTATTGGCTGGTATAACATCGCCCGTTCATTCCCATGGCCTTTAAATTACACTACAACCCCTAGACGAAATAGAATGAGAGGAGAAGAAACATTTACGGATACCGAGTAATTTAAATTTTTTAAAAAAGCATTAAGAAGTCATGTCCCACCATCTACTATACAATCACATACCCACCTAGCGCTCCGGATACCAATCCTTATACTTTTCATGCTTTTTACACTTCGCGCGATTATTCTTCTTATGTCCGTACTCGCCGCAGGCAGAGCACATACAATTCGCGTACGTCGACCCCTGGGCGCCGGCCTCGACACGCGCCTGGTACCTCAACTTCACAAGCTCGTGTCTGAGGTCTAATTCGCGCACCGAGAGTTCATGCTGCTGGAGGTTGATGCGGTGGATTTCCCCCTCGATATCGTGACGACGGCAGGCCATGTCGATGGACTCGCCCGGCCGAGCGGGGCTGGATGAGAGGTCAGCTGGCGGCGGTGGTGGGATAGGATCCAGGATGGGTGATAACGACGAGGTGCGATTTCGCTTGCGCTTTTTGGTCTTGGGATCGGATGAAGAGGTATCCGCCGGGGACTTTAGACGGGAGGTGGAGGGGCCGCGGGCGACGTGGGTTTCCGAGATGCCTTCTATGAGCGGTTGAATGGCGTCTTCGGATTCAGATACCGATAATTGGCGACCCCCGCGCCTTTTGCGGGTCAGTCTCCTCGGCGGGTCCGAAGCGTCCATGTCCACGTCGGTGCCTTCTTGGACTTCTTCGGCTTCTTCAGCCTTCCTTTTCTTCTTCTTCTTCTTCTTCTTTATCTTCGACGAGGTTGGGCTCTCGTAGCCGGAGGGGGACTCCACTTGCTTAGAAATTTTCTTTTGCCTCGACTCCTTCCTTGGGTTTGACGGACCTGGTCGATCTTGGTCGCTCTGGAATTCCATGCTCCCATCCGAGTGGGCAATCTCTTTTCCCTTCCCCCTTTTCCCCTTCTTATGCCTTCTCCGCTGGACTGCCGGCTGTTCCCCCCCGCTCCCCGAAGCCATTCCCTCATCAGAGGGTACTTTTTCCTTTCGTTTTGATTTCTTCTTTTTCCGCGTTGACCCCTCACGCCAAGCCATTGCCGCGCGTGACCCCAATTCAGATCGACTATCACCGTCACTAGAATCGACTATTGGTATCTTCCTCCTCTCTTTCCTCGGATTTCCTGATTTTTCAAACCTTCCACCCTCTTTACCATTACCCACGGTGAGGTCAACAATTTCCGCTGGCGCAGACTCTGTGGCTTCAGAATTGCTATCATCCGTATAATGCATTTGACCAAAAGCCTGTGTCACCGACTCGCCCACTGATCCGACGGGCGCTGAGGATGACGACGATATTGCCTGGCCATTATACGATCGGTGAAGAAACGACCATGACGAAGACGCCGAATCCGACGAGGATCTTTTAATATGTGCCTCCGATTGAAACAATCCATTGCCATCTCCATCCATCCGTTCCGGAAGAGCATCGACCCACCGGTCCTCCATCGCCCCTACCGCCACCCCAATATCCCCAGCCCTTTTCTCGCTGTTTTCAGAACCCTTGAGTACATCCGTCAAGGTCTTTTGTCCTCCACCCGGGAGTAACTGTGGGCCCTGCTGGAATTGACCAAATATTAGTGGGCGCATAGTCGAAGCAGGCGGTTGAGTACTAGAAAAGGGAAACTGCCGAACCTTTGGCTGTGGGTCAGAATAGGCAAACACTTCAGAAGCGCCGCTCGGGTCGGGGGGTGGATATCCCGGCGATAGCCAGCCCGGCTTTATCAACCCTATTGGCAACACTCTCTCACCACCCATACCCCTAGTGTTTGCAGAGTCGTGTGGCTTAGACTTCCTATTCGCCCTTCTCCCCAATGGCGTACCATTTACTCCTGGGCAACTCGGTCGGTCAGACGTACTACCAGCAGAGGCCCTCCGAGACGGCTCTGGTTTATTGAATGCACTTGAGTAAAGGACATTGCCCCGTTGCCCCCCGTTCTCCTGAACGCCCGAAGATTCACCGGCCGTAACCCCATAATATGACCGCAACTCCCCTCCCATTTCAGGAATAACTCGTGATGCCGGGGGCACGCTTTCCCCAAAAAACGTCTCGACCTTTAACGCATCAAGCGGATCTTCTAGGACAACCCCAACATCCATCATCCCCCCAGAGCGCGATATATCTTCCCGAAAGACATTCATAAACCTAACAAAATTGCTTGCCCCCCCCTGGGGCCCCGCCCTTATTGCAGTATGGCCTGCACAGCGTATCCTCAAAGCAATATCACGGGAGGTGACAGTAGGTAGCACCTGGCTGTCGTGAAGGGTGATTTGGGGGTTTTCACCAAGATTAAAAGACAGCTCATAGTATACTGGCGATTCCACTGCCAAAGAAAGACGAAGTGGCGGAGTGGCAATTATGGACACTGCCCTAGTTCCACTTCTGAAAGTGCGAAGGCACATGTAGCAAGACAGAGAGCGATCATAACCCACAAACTCGGAAGCATGCTGGCCCCGCAATATCGAGAACTGAAGCAATTCGCCATCCACACGAGTGCCTTGCAACCGGCTAACAGCAATCTCCGCCTCTTCTGGGTTCCGGAAGGCAGCAATCATCATGTGCGGTCGCCGCACCAAATTCCCATATAGCCGATACCCTTGAAGTAAACTGAGAATGCGGTAACTTTTTGTCATCGGTTTTATATTCATTATGTAGCTAGATACCATCATGAGCAACAGGCCAAGGCAGCGAACCCGGGTATATTCTCACACAATGGTATTTGGCATCTCCCACGATAGCCAGACGGTGGAGCGCCCAAGCTTCCTCCCTGCCAACTCCTTGTATGCTCTCGTAGCATCCTCCAGCGTCTCAAAAATGACAGGAGCGTATACATCCCCCGGCTGCCATCCGCACCTCAGATTCATAAACCCTGCTAAGAATTCCGTGAGCTGTTGTTGAGACAGATGGTTCGGCAAGTTCGAAATGTATCTAGATACCTCAGGAGTTAGAGCGCAAAAACGCAGAAGTGGAAGGGATGCGGGCCGGGGGGGGGGTGTGGGTTTTACAATGTCCGACGAGCCACTTCTTCAATCTCCTCCCTAACCGGCCGATAATCCGGCCCCTCCCAATACTTCATCGCAAAATACAAGTCCCTCCTAGGAATGATGGCTATCAAGGGGATGTATTGGGTTTCGGAACAACGATCATTCGCCGGCCTCATGAGCTTCCCTTTACCACCACGCGCAGCGGCGCCCGCCGCCCGTTGATCCATCCTCCAAAGTCAAAAACACCGGGCCCAGTGAGGGAGAGCGATTAAAAGCGAGGAGGGTAAAAGGTGGGGCAAAATGGGTACCCTTCACGGATACTAGATGCCTCAATCAGCCCGTTTATCGATTGGTCAGGTGGTGGGCCAAAGGGTCCTGCGAGCATTGATTCTCCCAGTGCGGGGGGGGGGGGCAAAAGCTGACGTTCAGACAAGGTTTGGTCCTTGAAATCTTGGCAGAGGAAGGGAGCCTCGTCACGTGACCTTGCCTCTCCCCTTCTCCCGTTCTCCCTTCCCCTTGTCTCACGCCTCCCCGCTTAACTACAGTACGGTACCGGCAAGAAGGCTACAGCACCCTTACTTGTTGAAGACTGGCGTTAAGCCAGGATTAAATGCGGCAGGAGACAGACCTTACCTCGTTATCCGACCCCGCATCCCGCGACGACCCTTCTTTCCCTTCCCCCTTCAATTGGGGTAAAGTCTGGGACTATCCCACCATCTGCTACCGTACTGTACTCGTAGACTACTCATCGCTATGCTCCCTTCCTCCTCCAGTCGCCCCGCCAAGGAGACCACGGATGCAGGTACTGTACTGTACTGGTATATACGCACAATCCCACCGTACACGCGTACCCGTTGCCCATAGCCCATACCAATCCTCACTTTCTTCCCCCCACTCTCTCGCATCCCCCAGGAAAAATGTGCAAATGGCCTACGTAATCCAACAAAGAACCCCCCCTCTTTCTTGGCACAATTCTTTTTTTCGACTCCCAAAAAGAACACCTCACACACATTGCCCATAACTTAGCGAAAAGAGAGCGAAAGTAGATCTGGCAACACCTCACATCCATCACATGGCGCCAAGTCCCCCACCGAACAGTTAGCGAAAAGGCATACGTCTGTTCGTATCACTGCCGCGTGTCCTACCGTACGGGCTGTCTTGGGTATGATACGATACTTTACTGAATTACCTAGTTGCCATATCGTGCATTATTGTACTCGTACACTTGGCCCTTTTGTTCTCCGGGAGGAAGATTCACATCATCGCCTTCATCATCCTCTTCTTGTCCTCGCTTTCCCCAGCCTCGGCATCTCCTCTTTTTTTCAGAAGGGTATGATAATATTATTATGATATCATACAAGTGCCGTAGTCGCACACACCAAATTTCCAATCCATGAAGTCCATGACCGCGAGTCCAGTCCACGTAACCCTGTGTGATCCGGTCACGAATCGCTTGAGTGGGTTGGTCGGTGTTTTTTTTTTCTACCTTGGTTACTAATGCACTTGGTGGAAGGGAAGAAAGTGGTTTTTCACTTTGTATGCAAAGCGCCGCAGCAGGAGGAGGAAGGAGGATCGGAATAAGACCTCCAAACTGCCTCTCCTCCTCGGTTCCATCAACCCATCGACCACTCAGAGAGTTTTTAGGGCTTCGCTCTAGCCACCGTGAACGAGAAAAGTTCCTATCGTGCCTGCTCTTTTTTTTGCCCTGGCCAAAAGTTAGCGTAGGTGGGCGCCCCTCCCCCCCCCGTCGTACAAGTATAAATCTCGCGTTACACACACGTAAATTGGACGGACCAGAGCCAGAGTACCACACTTAGCACCGTAGCCTACCGACCGCCCTGTCCTGCCCCCCCGCGGTAAAGTAATATCGTCCAAACATCCGAGGCAGGAGCACTCACTGGTGATGTTCAGCTGAGTGGAGGGAAATGGGGTGATTATACTTGTAACAACCATATTATGTGCTCTTGAATTAGAATGAAGAAATGAGTGGCTTGAACGGGGTTACCATATCACGGGAAGTCTATTGGGCCTTACGGTACTAGTACAGTACAGTACTATAATACTATCACATTATTTTTAGCATAGCCACGCTGAGTTCACCATCGGTCACTCGGTTTCTATCATTCTAGCGCTATGGTTGGCGAGCCAATCTGGATCTCCGGGAGGGAGAGAGAGAGAAGGGTACCATAGTCTACTTACTGCATACGCTTGCTTGCCTTGAGCTAGCCGCTGTCCAAAGTTTTTATTGCTACGCTCGACATGGACGCTTTTTCCCGATGCTATGTATACTCTGTATTAAATTTTAGGAATCAAAATGTTCACTTCGCCTTCGCACATACCCGATGACCGGATGAACTCGCGGAGGAGTCGGGTTAGGTATCATAATTATCTCCCGGCTCTCGAGGGGACCGGGAAAACACATCGACGTCCAAAATAGAATTTTCTCCCCACCTCACTTAATTATTTTTATTCCCACTATCCTCAAAAGATACCGGTAGCACCAAACGATAATAGAAGCGGAACAGAAACACTCAAGTTGCGGTATGATATGATGATAACCAGGGATCGTCGAAACTTTCAGCAGGTGCGAACAAGACTTAAAAAAGAATTGACAAAAAAAATTTGCCCTGCTGGTTTGGGTATCCCCGGCCAGGGCACAGCATAGGCCATGAGAGATCCAGCTTGTCCTCTCCCTTCAGCGAAAACTGTGACCATTTCCAAGATGTGATACGGTACTGTATTACAGTTTTAACGCGCGAAGCAGCATCACCACCGCTACAGTACAGTATGGTACCGGTACGCTGCGCCCTAGGCAGACCAGTGTCGATCCGAACCCCCCCCCCGCACCGGTATGAGTACAGACTCCAATAATAATGACCTCCGCCAACCAAACAACCAACCTAAAAAAACAAAAAAAAACTCACACCCAGCGACCGTACCAAACCTCGACAACTCCTGCGCAGCGCAAAACAGAGGCATCCTTCAGCAGACGAGCACCGGTAATACAAGCATGCGCCGATACCATCATCATAAGTTACCCGAGTACCGTACTGTACAATACCCTCTCATCACACGACATTGACCACACACAAAAAGAAAAAAGAAAAAAACCTCACCCCGCGCAGAGCCTCATGCGTTACCGCACCCAGCGGTTCAACTTACTTTGTCGCACTTCTCTCTCTCTCACTCTCGCGCTCCCTCTCTCAATCCTTAATCCGGCCGAGCCTCCCTGATTGACTAACTCTCGGGCGCGGCCGGCCGGGCGTATCAGCATTTTCGTCCATCTGTTCGCATATCGGTACTTGATCTGGCACTATTACTCATTGTCGAAACTTACCAATCCATTAGTCTACCGTGCTGTATTATAGATGCTCGCTTTTGCTGTACTTATCCGCCGTTGGAGGACGGCGGGAGGGCTTAGCGGGAGAGGCGCTTAGGCTGTGGAGGTGTAGTGCCGGTATGACATTGTGGTGCAAAACGTCGGGCGGATCGCTGTTGTAAGCGGTAGGTGTGATACAAGTAGGCTGGGCTGGGTTGAGCGGGAGGGAGGGAGGGAGGTAGGGAAAGGGAAATCTTCATCACGAGGGGTGCAGGCAGCATCCCTAGAGCCTATTATAGGGCAGGGAATGGCTGGGTACGGGAGTCCCGGTGGTGGGAGACAGGGTAATTAGTGTAATAGGATCGCTTGCAGATGGGTTTGGCTCGGTTGGTTTGGGTTGGTCTGGTTGGGCATAGTAAAAGCACTGGCGGTGTATTATGGCACATCTGATTAGCGATATGATGCGATGCGTGCGATACAAGTACGGTGAGGAGAATTGCATTTCCAGTGCATAGCAGATCCCAATGCATTCTCTCCCTCCTCCCACGCTTCGCTGCGGTGCAGTGCAGCGTGAATCAATCATCCATCCTCTCTCCATCAATTCGCCCTCGCTAACTCACAACACACTCACCCACTCGGTTCGGCACGGCTACCTCAGGCTTCAATTGATCGGCGCCGTGGCTTTGCTTTCCTTCATCCCACTCATCCCCTCCGCCCCCACCCGTTCATTCATCCATTCACTCTAGGCAAACACCGCAACGAACATCTACCACAATAAACGGTTCAACCCCCCCCAATCCACTGCTACAATCAACCACAAATATCATGGCCGCCCAACCAGGCCGGCCCGGCCCCCCCCCACCCCACAACCTCATACCCTATAATCTCGTATACAAGAAATCCATCATCTCCGGAGCAGGGGTTAAGCTCCGTACCCAGAGACAAAAACCCTCAAGAAGGGTTAATGTTTTCCTCACACGATAAAGCATGAGCGCGATGAGCTGGTATCCGCAATCCTGGTAACCTGTCAAATTGAACCCGTCGTGGGTGGACCGGAGATTAAACCCTGCTCCGGAGATAGTGGATTACAGGGTAATCTGCACAAACCAAACTTGCGCCCTTACACTCCACCAGCAAAAGAGCACACGAGTGATATTTCACCACGGTGGTCCAAAAGTGGTGCCCTGGATGACTACCAAATGATCGACTCCCCGGGCGCTGAGTTTTGGTTTGCTTGTCCCCCAGCGCTAGAGACACTCGGAGTGCAATACTCTATTGATAGGGCCCCCAGCATGAAGAGACCAGACAGTCTTTTTTGTTGAAACTACTTAAGACAAACATTTAGTGGGTGACGAAATGACCTGCATGACTGCTAAACTACCCTGCCCTATCCCCCTAGGTCACACCGGCCCCTGTGAATGCTCTGCTGAACTCAGAAGCCAGAAAACGCTAACTGACCGCAGTCACACCCCCCACTGCAAATTATATTTAGAAGGCAGCCTAACACACAACCTCTCCCCTACGCACAACCTCTCCCTAACGCACAACCTCAATTATCAGTGTGAGAGGAACCAGATTGTGGGAAAGAGTGGTTAAAACAGGGCTAGAAACCCGTTTCAACTCAAATTGTTGAGGAAGTTGACACAACCGGTAAGATAAATACCTTGCATCCTTGCTTAATCTTGAAGCCCACCGCTCTGATCTATGTACCGGCCTACCACAATACCAAAACTGACGGCATCATGGACCACCCCATGAGCATCGGGGTGGCTGGCTATGAGGCATTGCTTCCTGGAGGGCTCCCCTCTGAAGCAATAAACGTCGCACTTGAATTCATTCATACCCTCCTGCAAGACTCCAAACAACACGGCAGCTACGGCACAATCCTACGGTACAACAAAAAGCTACACGAGGCAACGGTTCCAACAATACTGTTTGGATTTCCAGAACCAGGGCGGATCGGATCCATCATATTACCTGAGGCTATCGCAAATATCCCACTGCTGGTGATAAGGCAGTACCAACCATAGATATACTACCCACATGGTGCTTGGGTGTGAACCACGAGGAAAATATTCTATATCGGAAGGAGGCAGCTTCGGGGGTTGGTTGGCAACAAATGACGGGAAGAAGTGGGGCATAACATGCGGACATTGCCTTCCGGAGTGTGATGTTGGTTCCAGTGTCGTGTCACCAAGCAGTTTAGAGATTATGGCCCGACTGGATGAAATTATTCCATACACCAAATATTGTCCGATTTCTCGGAGTGTTTGCAAACTGAAGGCTTGTGAAGATGAAGTTGATTTCCTAAGGGAGAAATATACCGAACTACCAGATAATGATGGGGTTGAGCTTTATGACGGGAGCAAAATAAAGCTGATTGGACCTGACCTTGGGATTTTGGTAGCAAAGGCGGAACACAGATATCCCATCTTGCAAAGGCATAACGAGCAATTGCGATCCCAAGGGAAGAGGGAGTTTGCAGTCAAGAGCGCCATAATACCCTCGCGGCTAGACTGGGCATTGTTTGAAGCTTGCAACACAAGGTGGGTAATTTCAGTTTCTTATTAGTATTTAGTATTCCCGGTACTAACTGAATAGAATGCTCGGGAATCGACTCACTACCAGTCATATTTTTAGAGATGAGAAGGTTTGCGGAATGGGTTTGCTGGAGCCAGGGGCCACAGTGTGGAAAACTGGGAGAACAACAGGCCAAACCAAGGGTAAGGTAAATGACGTTGGTGTCATCATCTGGAAGGATGGCTTTACGACGGAAGAAGTTGCAGTTATTTCTTCATTTAGTGGCTCAAGAAGTAGTCTTTTTGCGGATAATGGTGACTCGGGCGCTCTGGTGTTCTGTATGGCTAATTCGTTGGAAGCTGTTGGACTTGTGGTTGGCGGGAGTGAGTCGCAAGTTCCGTGTTGGGTTGCCGTTACCCCGTTATGGGCAATCCTTGAGGACATGAAACTCATGACGGGTATGGATGTTAAATTTTGTACGGAGTGTTGACTTTGTTAAGTGTGTAAACTGGGTACTTGATTGTAAACAGGGTGTTTTTGTATAAATACTATAAGTTTTCAGGCGGTGGGTATGAGCAATGCTTACAAGTGTTCCTGCCAGCTCCTTCGTTGCTTGATTTTTTTTGTGTGTTTGAAAGCTAAATGCCGGACCCTTGTACAGTATGCCTGCCCCTAATCCAACCGCTTACCATGGCATCCACTCGTGAGTTTTAGGTGCCCAGCATGCATCATTCTATAGCGCTTGTTTGGTTGTTGCCATATCACTTATATTGAAAAGGTCGATTTTCGACTCCACACACAAAGCAACCTTAAGCCACGCCCGTTTGGCGGAAAACGGGATAATAGTAGACAATACAGTACAAGTACCATGATACTCCAGATAGCAGTAAATTTGTTTTTACAATTTGTCTATGTGCGGGGGCCTAGGGATGCGCATCTCTCTGCCTAGAGATCGGACCGGAATGGGCATAGGTTGGGGCGGCACCGGGGGAGGGGGGCTGGCGGAGACCTTCAGAGGGGTAACTTAGGTATGCCGTTTGTGGGTTTTGCAGGAGTATCTAGCTTGATGAAAAATACACAAATCATAACCTCGACTTGGTGCAAAGAAGACTATATGCAACTTTTGTTGGTATTGAGGGGGTATCTAACTTGGTGGAAAACATTCTACAAATTATGTCTGCTGTGTGTGAAAAAGGCCCTTTGTGGGTTTCGCGGGGTATCTAGCTTGATGAAAAATACACAAATTATAACCTCGACTTGGTGAAAAGAAGCCTATATGTAACTTTTATGGGCATTGAGGGGGGTAGTGTATCTGACTTGGTGTCGGCTTTGTGTGAAAAGGACTGCCCTCGTGGGTTTCGCAAAGGTATCCAGCTTGATGAAAAATACACAAATCATAACCTCGACTTGGTATAAAGAAGACTATATGCAACTTTTATGGGTATTGAGGGGGTATCTAACTTGGTGCAAAATATTCTTTATCAGCTTTATGTGAAAAAGACTCTCCTTTGTGGGTTTTACGGGTCTACAACTTGGTGGAAAGTTTTCTCCTGCTAGCCTCATGCACGAGACTGTACGACTCCCGAGTCCATACGGAACGTCTGGTCGGGAAAGCAAAATCTGGCTCCAAGGATCTCTTAATGGACTCAAACTACCACTTCGAGGCACTTTGGAGCATCATTTTCATATCAGTCGAGTGATAAGCAATGAGAATGGCCAATTCCGGCCCCTAGATTACCGTACCGCATCGTATCCTCCCCCCTCCTCCGACGCCCACGCGAACCAGGCCAAATCCCTCAGTCATGGGGACGCTCTGCTTGCTTGCTTGCTTGCCCTCTGCGTCAGATAGATAATAAGTAAGGCTCTTGTAGTAGGATGTATGTACCGACAGTGCTGTGCTGCGCTGTGCTGTGCTGGTGTAAGCCTCAAGTGCTAGGATAATACAAGTCACGAGAAGAGGGTACTGGTTAGTCCGGAATCTCTGTTTGATTTGCTGGGTGGGTGGGGTGGTTGAATCCTGTTGCTGTGCTACCTGGAAGAATATTCTAGAAGGATGGATGGAGAAAGGGAGTGTGTGTGGGAGGGGGGAATAAGTTAGATGGATGGGATGGATGGGAATGTAATGGATGGATTCGGATTGGGATGGATTGGGTTTGTAGGAGTCACAGGATTGTTGGGCGTTGTTGTGCTCGATAGACCTCCCCGGACCCACAGCGTGGTGTAGTGTGTCGGATTCGTTGTGGCCGCGGATGTTTATGTCTCTGATTGAGGGAAAAAGGGCACTTTTGTGGACTGCACGAAGAGGAGCACAGTACAAGTACTACGGTAGTAAGGTACCGGGGGGGTCATGCTGGGCTCTTTTTGATTTCTTGGAAATAGTAAAACATAGTACAATATGGAAAAGAAAAGTTAACTACGCGTCGCTTAGCGACGCGTAGAATAACTCGAGTCTCTCTTTCCTTCTTTCTCCCCTCCACACATGTTTCAATTATTCCCGAGGTCCAGCCTTCGTGCTTGCGATTGTTGCTCTTTTTTTGTATCGCGAGTGTGTGCGATTGGATTCGCAGCGGCCGCGTTGGCTATTTACGTCTGCTTGCACGGTACGATGAGTGAATGATACCTTTTTGTCGACTTCCCAACCACTGCGCTGTAATTTTTGTCGCCTGGCCCGTAGGATAGGCTATTGTTTATTTCCACGCCTCTCGAAGGGTGGCCACAAGTTTTTCTTTGGGGGTTCTGTCTCCCTCTCACGCCTCGTCCAACAGATTGTTCCTTCTCACTCGGAATCTCGGTTTCCCTTTCTGGCGGAGTTTCCAATAATAATTCCATCTGAAACAGCCATCCTTCGGAAATGCCCTCGGAGTCATAGTTTCTCCGGAGGTGTGGCATTTTTTCCGTTCCTAAGACCGGAATGACAAGCGCGCGCGGGGGCTTTGCATCTGTGATCTGTCCTCTTCTGTCCTCCTGTCCTGTCCGTCTGTGCCTTAGGTCGGAGGGAGCGCGGCAGACAACTGGATGACTCTTCGACCGACAGATGTGTACCAGGGTTTCTTCTCGAGCGTGAGATCGGAGCCAGAATTGTGAGGGTCTGGGAACGAATTCCTTGGGACGGATACAGGACGCTCAATTTCGAGTGGGGCTTAACAAAGAGCCATAACTCATCGGTCGACCATTCTGGTTAGGGTGTTTTCAATTAGTTGCACAGGATTTGCTGATATCATCCATCGGGAGTTTGGGGCTTCCCCCAGAAATCAAACCAAGTGACGGTGAATATTGCTATACGATAAATCGTTGTGTGTATGTATAGTAGCTCGGAGATCCCCTGAATAGATGAATTGTGTCTTCTGGAGCGCGTTTCGGGAAAGGATTAGCTATCCAGGAACCCAATCCATGAATATTCGCTTCGAGTCTTCTTTCTTTCTGTGCTTGTAGGGACCTATCGAGATTATGCCTTTTCTTGACTTCATACTCGGTTACATTGCCAAGTCGGTTCTCGAATCCCTCGACGCTCGAATCAAACAACGACGTTTCGACCCTCAATAAGGTTGTTCTTGTTATCGATGCTTGGTGTTGTGAGTGTGTGATCCTTGGGGACCTTCGCTGTCCAGCCTCCTCAATTCCATTTCGGAGAGAGAGAAGAAATGCTGGATAGATATGGAACTTAGAGACGCATTTTAGTGACTCTTTGAGTTCTTTTTCTCGATCTTCGAGACACGATCTTTGTGAGTCATTGTGACTACCAAGGCTTAGCGATGGGATGGAATTGGTTTTGTGGAACCGAAAGGGATAAGTCAAGTCACAGAGAGTGACGGGGTGCATGACATGAACACGGTTAGGGGTTTGGAGGCAAGGGTCGAGCTGCTCAGGCAGGAGTGATTGGCATTTCAACGCGTGCCCGACGCGTTGGATTGGTTGCTATCATACCCATGGTGTGATTTGCACTTTGAGGCGCAGCTCACAAATTGGAAACACTAAACTTGACCTATTCCTCACAACCCCAGGCTCTGCGCACAATCTCTCCTTTCCTTCCCCCCCTCTCTCCCGTCAAGAAACACTGACAAATGGGCCCTATGACTAACTCCTCACCACCCCCCCCTCTCCCCATTCCCCCTTGGTGCTATAACCTCTTGGAGGACAACTATTTTCTCCATCCCATCAGGCGACGGGGTTACAAGTCTATTGGACCGCTTGGAGGCTGTTTCCACGGTAGGCTGTGCGTAAGTCTCACAGCCAAGTGCCCACAGAGCTGGTGCACATCCCCAGGATATGGCTTACTCCCCATCCAAGTTACCCACGGAAGGCGTCACGTATCCGCAGGGAACATGAGTGTGACGCAAAGTGAATAATCTGGGGAGCCCCATTTTGCTGCTGCGTCTCGTCCTGTATCGCCGCCAAAGGTGTCGCTCGTCTAGGCCGCTATAATGGAGCTGGTGCGTTATACGGTACTCCTTCACACACCCCACCCCTCCCCCTCCCTCACTTTGATGTGTGGGAGAGACAAAGTGACAGATGGACTCCGGAAATTCTCATATAAGAGTCATGCCGGACTTCGATTGTCCAGCTCTTACTTTTTTCGCCATCACTGCGAACACATCAAACAAGACCTTTCAAGAAGAAGAAAAACATCACGAGCTTCTAAGGAACAAGCACAGACAAAACACGAGCTTTCGCCACTACCCTATACTAGCATCCTAGTCGAATTCGCAAACACTACCCCCTAAAGAACTAGCTTCTCTATCCTTATTCTATTTGCCGCTACGGTCCAAAAGTTTAAAGCTACCGACGAACCTACCCTCTTCACGATGCCTGCACCAAACAATCCGCCGCCACCACCAGCTCCGCAACCACCACGGCTCCCAACTCCTGATATCGGGGCTGCACCTCGGGGCATGTTCGGGGTATGTTCTCGCTTTAACTCACTTACCCACATTTAAACTTAACCCTCTACTATCATGAAGAGTTGGAGCTAATCATGTATATGACGAATTCAGAGAATGCACCGATGAATGAGCGCGCTACAAAGGATCTGAAGAACAATCCCTCCTCTTAATTCAAAATTATATAAAAAAGGAACCTGCTTCGAGCGAGATTATCACCCTCCTCAATGCCTCGACATTGCGCTGGTCATCGTCACCCCCCTCGAAGCACACTCCATCGGACGAAAATGGACGGAATGCCTTCCTTCCCTCCCTAGGGGAAGCGACCCATCTCAACCTTTTCGAATCCGATACTCCGTACCGGACGAATGTCTTGTTTGATTTTGTTTGATTTTTCTTCTTCTTTCGGTCACCTTCCTTCCTTCCTATCTCTCTATTCCATTCATCAGACATGACCCATTTTCCAATCGCCATTGTTCATCGGGAATCTATCGATCTGGTCGGGACGAACGGGTACCGACGAGCAAGGAAGGAAGGAAGCGACGGGCGGACGTCACAAAAGAAAAAGAGAACAAAAACCAACGGAGCATTTCATCCTACAACTCGCGACTTTTTCCTTTTTTTTTCCTCCCTTCTACTTTCATTCGTCTTTGATTTTTCTAGTTACCTCCGTCCGTGATTTCGAGACGAAAGAGCTTCTATTATTTCCCCCTCCTTCCTTCTCGGTTAGCTTTCCGTTCTTCTAAAAGGGCACAAAAATCCCGAGAAGAGAGAGGGGTGAGGAAAAGAAGGTTTACTTTCAAAAGGGCGGTCACGTGACGTGAGTCAGAAAACAACGAATGGGTTTGGGGGAAGAAGGGGAAACAACTGCTGAGGAATCCTTTCTCTCTCTTTCTATTGAATTCCATTCCTTCCTCTTCTATTTTTTTTCTCTTATTTCCTTTCCTATTCCATCCTTCTTTCTTCTTCCTCCTTGTTTTTTCTTTCTTTTTTTTCCGTTGGGGGTAGCGATGGGGCGGAGGAGGGGGAGTTGTGGTATCTGCTGGATACTTTTGACGAATTGTTTCTCCGTATTTTCTTTTATTATGATTTTTCTTTGCTTTTCGTTGACTCCTTTGATCGCTATGACTGTTTTTCCGTTCGCCTTGCGCTGTGGGGCGCCCGAGGGAGGGGGGTGGTGGGAGAGGAGTCGTATGCGATGATGGTTGTGATGGTGGTGGGGGTTCTGTATTTGGAGGAGGACGAGGGCGGGCGTTGGAGGGGGTAAAGGTACGTGAGATGGCTATTTTGGGAAGTGGGAAGTCGCCAGGGTTAGGGTTTTTTTTTTTTTTTTTTTTTTACAATGCTCACGACGACGGGACGAGAGACGACGATTACGGCTGGGCTGGGAAAACGGAAAAGTTATTATTACGGTGCGGTGCGGGCCCTTTTCAATCGCAGTGCTACTGCGTAGCCGATGAGGAGAGGGAGAGGGAGGGGGAGTCTTTTTTTTAGCCTTTTCTTTTCAAGGGAAAATATATGTCTTTGTGTTGTTTTGAGAGGGCGTCATATACCGGTATCGTACCCGAATTAATTTAAGCTTTCAACCCAAACATTCTCGCTGCTCCATATATGATACCGTGCTGCGAGGGGCCGTGGCGACCTGGCCCCGGGGTGGGAGGGAGGAGTGTCACGAGTGCACTAAAGTAGTTTTACGAAACATCCATACTGTATGGATACTTGTGAAACATGCATCGAGTGAACGGTGACTCTCGGTAGTGCTGGCGCGTTCCTAAGATCACGTATCATATCCCGACGAGTCACAGTTTTCCCGGGACGAGAGTATTATCGAGCACAGCGCCCAGCGATGCGCGGTACTGGTAGAGTGGGGTACAATAGTGCAGATCTCGGGCGATCAGCATCTCGAAATTCATCTCATCCCTATGCAGCCTCTCCCGCACCTCACCCACCCACCCAACCCATATTAATATGCACTCCATTTCATCCGCCCATCCGCCCATTCATCCATCTTGAAACGGCGACCCCAATTTTTCAAGTTCACCCAAAAGCCCCCCCCTTCCGCATAAGACCCCCTCCCATCCCCTGCACAAACCTACCGTATAACGACACCATAATAACAAAAGATCCATGCTACAAACATACACCATCCAATACAACAACCACATCATAACCCCCCTCCCGCTAGCCCTCCTAGCGTTGCCCATGGCCGCGGCGATCACGCTAGCCGCGGTGTCGTTCAGGTTCATACCGCTCGCGGAGGCGCTGACGTCGGTGATGCCCCTGTCCACGGTTGTGGCTGGGTGTGGGTTTATGATGTGGTGTTTTGTCGAGAGGGGAGGGGGAGGAGGGGTGAGGGGGAGGGGTGAGTAGGGGGGTTTTTTTTTTCCCTTCATTTTCTCTTTTTTTCCTCTTTTTCTCTTGAGTTTTATCGCGAGATATCAAATCTTGGGTACTGAAGAAGAGTCCCGGCGATATGGTATGATGAAACAGAGTAATGATCTCCCGAGAGGGTGCGTTCTTGCTTCACTACGGTTACTTGTAGCGAGCACCGCGCCCGCCGTTACATGGCGCACTTTCTCTCACTTGATGGAATTTTCTGCTGGACCGCCCGTTGGGATTAGATAAACTTGGTGGGAGAAACCCAGAGCGGTCGCATCAGTATTTATTTCCCTCCTGGGACGCGCGAGTCGGTGGTTCTGGGGGGGGAGCTTCTCGAGCTCGCAAGTAATCCCTATGGGATTAGTCCGTGCCGAACCCATTTTTTCATAATTCTCGCCTTGCACAATCCTGCCATTTGTGGGGATGAGATAAGATGATATGCCAAGTATCCATTTCTGGGTCGCTCATGTCTATCATACCCGGGGTCCCGTTTTCTTCGACCGCCGGCTCAGTCTCATACCCCGCGGGATCCTGCAGATCCCCTCCTGACCTTCCGCTTAGGCCAGTCAGGGTCCATGTCCATAGTGACAGCACGCCTCGTAGCAGAATAGCAGAAATCTCAACGCACAATCAACCAGCTAACAAAAAGAAAAAAGAAGCACCTCCTCCGTACTCGAGTATGACACATTTTATCATACCCGAACACCGGGAGGAACCAGTCCGAAAAACTACAGTACTGTACCGGTATTCGCGAGGGCGCGAGCTACCATGGACACTGTTACACCCCCTACCGTAACTCTGGGTGGATAGGTGCTGCTTAGCCAGTTGTTCTGTACTGTACAGTACTATCATAGTATACAATACTGGTAGAAGTCTCGACTTTTTACCCCCTGGGACAAAAAAAACATTGCGTGTCATACCTTCCACACTCCTTTTCCCGGGTCCATCCAGCGCTGTTCTCCACGTGCCACCGGCGCGATGTGTGGGAGAAGGACCGGTTTTTGCCACCGGCACCATCGGGGTCCTTTCCCCTGTGTGTAATACATATACTATACGATACCTGATGGTGGTCATGTGGTATCACTCGTCTTGGCGTTTGTTTGTTTGTTTGGTTGGTTGGTTGGTTGGTTGGTTGGGAGGGTGGTGATAATCTTAGAAGAGAGGGAACGAAAGCAGTGGACGGTACTAGTACGAGTACAGTGGGTATCATTCCGGAGGGAATTTCCGGACGCTTACCATTACCCCGGCAATCGCCGAAGGGTCGAGACGTCATTTGTCAACCTCCCCCCCTGTGGAATCTCCGCATGATACTCGTACTGTACTAGCACAAGTACCGCAATCTGGATCGTCATTAAAGCAAAAGTACTGTGGGCATCGTGCACTTGTACGAGTACTTGTACTTTAGAAGCTACACTAGTCTGGAATATCGCCCGCTGTCGCTGGAAGAAGGAGAAATCTCCACCGTAATTTCACCGGGACGTCTCATAACAGTTCACGGAACATCACTCGATTGATGGATTGTCCTACGGTACGGCAAAAAATTTTTGGGGAGTGATAATAATAATCGTGTTTTGTCGTAAAGGATGGGACGGAAGGAACTGGTTTCTGTAGCCTTGTGAGATGGCGGGAATGGGAGATTACTTATAACTCACTTGTACTCGTACTGTACTAGTACTCGCAGCTTCCTCATTAGCGTGTTAAGTACTGGTGGTCGGTCGCTGTGGGCGGGAGGTGGATTGGGGGGGGGTCTCATTTTGAAACTTTGGTAATTTGGTTTTCCCTTTAGGGTGCTACTTGTATCATATCTGAGCTTGTTCTTGTCTTGTCAACTGTGCTACGGTAGTAATGGGATATTTGGGCTTGGTGGTGGGACAAGCCACTATCGATAAGAGACGGAGCTAAACCGCTATAGGCTTAGCTGGGGAAGTTGGCTAAATTGCGGGCACTGGTTGATGGAGATGCTGCTGGTTTCAACTTGCTCAAGCCGTGCCGGGTCCGGTAGGGACTGTTCCTCCTTGGAGTGTTTTGTCTCTGGCGATGGAGAGTGCCGGTACTCGTAGGAAGGAGGCCTGAGGGAGATGGTGGATTGTCAGAGTAAATACCGTATTTCAACGACGGTGCCTCTGTCCCTTCCTCTCTTCCTTCTTCCCTCCCTCCCTTTCTCTTTCCTGCACTTGCTCCTCCTTCATTGCGGCATCGTACTCTTGTATTTCAAAGTATCATAGGGTACGCTAGAAGCGACCATCATATCACACCAAAGGCATAAATAGTCTACCATCCTCGGCCTCCCTCCTTCCTCCCTACTCCACTACCGCACTACCGGCACTCCCATCCGCTACCCCACTGCCGCAAACAAACAAGAACCCAAAATGCCTACAACCCCGGAAAACCAATCTGCCGCCCCCGGTGGAGGCCAACCGAATAAAGTCCCCTCCCTCAAGAGCACGGTCAGAATGGTCACGTGGGCCATGAACGGGAAGAAGAAGAGGGCGATCAAAGCTCAGGAGAAGGAAACCATGGAGGCCGAGCGGGTATCCGAGATTGAAGAGTTTTTGGAGACCGCAAAGGAGGGGCCGAAGCAAGGTTGATTTGTCGAGTTATGGAATCGGGGGTGGGGAGGAGGATTGGATAGATTGATGCAATGCATATCTATTGCAGGTGCGGTTGCTGGGAAGGGAAAAAGTCGGGTTATTATCTGGGTGCACTCTTGTTGGGAAGAAGTGAGTGTGGAGGGGGAAATTTGACGAAAGAGTTTTATTTTTCTGCTTTGTTTTGTTTCCTGTTTTGTTTTTGTCGACTTTTTATTTTCGGACTCTCTCTCTACCCCCGAGGTCGGACCCCCGGGGCGAGGATATGATTTCTCCTTTCTCTCTCTCTCTCTCCTGGTCAGTGAAGTGCTTTTCGTTCCATTCTTGTTCAATAGGTATTATCTAGGATATCTTGCGCAAAAGTAGTGTGTGAAGGATTTAGCGGGAGTTTTTATTCTCATTATTATTGCCACCGCTTCGTGCGTTTATCGCATTCCATCATCTCCACAAGCGACCATCATGAAAGATGAGAATTGATCAGTTACTGTACAGTACAGTACAAGGACCAAGGATAGAATACCAAAATTTCGGTAACAATTGGTGCTGTATGTACGAGTAATACCGGGAAACATGAACCCTGAGAAGATCACCTACCCTCCCACAACATATCATACCATACCATAATAATATTATTATACCTCCCCCAGCTACAGCAACATTAGCGAGAAAAAGTAATTGACAAAAAAAGAGGCAAGGTTCTAGACCAAAATTCGATGAAAGATTTACATTTCCAGACGACCCCACAGATCGCCAGCTAATTTTTATAACACCCGACTCCGTTTTATCATACTACTGTGGGGAAGGAGAAGAAGAAGAAGAAACCAGCATTTAGCGAGTAGCGAGCGAGTGAATGATCGTCCGTGTAACCCGAACAGCCCTATCCCGACTGGGACTCGCGTGACGCGGTGCGAGTTCGGGACACACGTGATCGCCTACCGTTCGCGTAATCTAACTTGACGAGCACGGAAGGATCATCGGCGTTGTACTGTACAGTACTCGTCGCGTTTGAACGGTAAGCTTACCGTGGGATGATGTAGCGTCCCGGAGATGAGGTATTATATTGTAGTTGTGGCTTTATTGCTGTAGTATTCTTAGTGGGTTTTGGGGGGTTACGGTGGAGGGAAGGGAAACGGTTTAAAACATATCTGTGTCTTCCTCTCGTCGTGCTCTCGGTGCGCTTCCTCTCTTCACCATCGTTTCCCCACCGGAACAAAACCCCAACCCTATGCGGTGCGGCGAGTGATAGCGCGTGCATACCTTCCCTCCTCTGCATGCGCTATCGGGGCTTGAGATGCGATACAGCACTCTTTCACGAACGGGCGAACAAGACGAGTACTCACCCCCCCCCTCCCCTCTACCCACAGGCAAATCTACTCTACCCCACGCACAAACACACACACACACAAGCACTTACAAAACCGAGACTCGGGATTATCGAAATGCCACGCTTACAAAACTTCAAATCAAAGGTCGCCCGAGCGATGCTTTGTCCCCCGATCCTGTCCTCCGGGAAGGGCGAGAGGAGGGGGAAGGAGGAGGCTCCGAGGGAATGGGTCCCACTGAATCTGGTCGAGAGGGAGAGGTTGTTGGATAGGATGGGGGTTAGTGGTGCGAGGGTTAAG